TCGCAAATTTGCAATCGCCATTACAGAAAACTCCGTGCCCCATTATAATGTTTCTGCACAGCTGTTCACAAATACTATGCGCATCATCTATCGTTAACGGAAATTTAATTTATGCCATGCTTGCAAATGTGTGAACCTAATAGCTCTGCTTAGACGAGACTCAAGGCTGCTAACAAGCTTTACAAGTTTACAAACAGCATAATACCATTATGTCTAGTATTAGCTATTAAGTCAATTATTCTAAAATTAGTCTATGTGATGACAATAATCCCACAAAGCTCCTTACTTGAATAATTCTATTTTCCGATTCTGAAATGTAGGAAAAATAACTAAATAGGACAACTGAACTTGCTTCACATAAGTTATAACTTGCGATCTGCGGTATCAGTCGTGTTTTCCCTACAAAATCATGGGTTGTGTTCATAATCAATCAATCATAATTCAAAATTCTGCTATACTAACTAGTTCGTTCCAGACCACGACCTCACAGAATTACGGTATTTTTTTTAGCATATGTCCCAAGAAAATTTGGCAGACGTGCACCGCTTTTTGAGGGTAGGGAATCCGTTAGACTCCCTTGTTCAAAAGTGAAGTTCTACGCCTGGTATACAACAAACCGAACATTTGACCGAGGGTGTTTTGTTGTCCTGAAATGAACCAAACTGAAACTCATAAAATAACAACAGCAATAAATCACATTAGTTATTCATATATTATATGGACCGGCACATTATGCTTTTAGCTTTTAATTGTTTAATATATGGTGGTTTTGCTCGATTTTTCATGCTGTTCTTGGGTTATCCATTTAGTAATGCCATTTGTGAAGTCTTTTTTGATATAACACCAATATCGCCTGATTATGTAACAGACCGAGATTTTAATCAATGTATAACTGATACAGAGCTCTGTGAGACTAACCGTCTGTATACATTGCCTGTGCGATATATGACATCTTATTCCCAAACATCGAACATGGATATATATACATAAGTACTGTGTAAACATATATGGGGCTTTCGTGACCTAAACCCTCCTGATGAAGAAGGAATGAGACTTTTTAGAGCTCCCTTTTATTGCAGGTTATGTTTGAAAGCCCTTAATACTCTAGAATCTAGATGCAGGTCAGGTGCTGTGACATATCAAAATTAATCGTTATATCTTCACATATCAAAATTAATTTGGTTTTTGTGGACAATGTAAAAATCGCACATTATGATAAATCATGTGCTTATAGTTATACTGTAAACATACTTGGATCGATTTGGAATGCAGTTATTTAATATGTGAGGATTTCTGAATTACATCCTAGCGTATCAGTTAGAAATAGCAGCCGCCGTCCCCCACCCTCGATCTCCAAGTGCGAAACCGGTAAGATTTGAGCAAGACTGGTTAATCTTTATGGATTTTACTGTACATTATATAGCAGAAAATCTAAATTCTAAATATCGGCTAGGACTGGCTGGATTTGCAGTCTTATTTCCACGACTGATGTATGTGGTAGCTACTTGGGTAATATGCCTAAAATCTTAACTGCACCTTCACCTCATACTAATAATCCATAACAATTAATC